TACTGTTCTTATACTGTTTTTTCTCTTTTTTTCTCTATCCACTTTGCTGCTGTAAGATTGGAATTTCCCCATTGTGGGACTATTAAAGGAATATCTTATCTTATCTTAAAGACTAATATTTGAATATAAACAAAGTTTGGATGTGTTGTTGAATTTATTATATGGGAGCACATTTCTGCTTGTAAAATAATAAAATAAAATGAAAACTTGGTCTTGAAAATAAAAAAATTCATGTTTAGTCAATAAAAAAAAAAAAAAAAATCGTAAATATAAGATAAAATAATCAGCATTATGACTCTATAATGTAATATTTTGTATTAACGTTAGTTATTGTTGTAATAAAGTGTAAGTTTCCGTCTGCTGTGTGTATGTTCCTGGCAGTAATGTGCTTCCATATAATCCTCAGTCCTCATGCAGTCAGTCTGGAGGCTCCTCCTCTACAGAGCCGCTCCGTCTGCGCAGGCGCACTGTGCGCTGTTTGTCGGGAAACTTCTGAAAGGTTCGATGGATGAAAACGGCGGGAAACGAACAACGGACAGAAACTGTCCTCAAGCTTGTTGGGAAGAGGAAGAAAGGAGGCTGATGTTAAGCTGCTGTTTTATTACAGTAAAGTTTAATAAAGTTTGACTCTGACAAAGTGGACAAACTCGTTAGCATCCCGTTAGCTGACGTGTTGTCAGTGAAGTTGACTGCGACATTTTAGACCCATAAAGACAGTAAAACACTGAATGATGAGAAATTAGAAATGACTGATGTAGCAGCTCGAGCTAACGTTAGCTTAGCTTCACATTTTTTATCATAGATATAAAAACGTAGATCCTGAGTTCTGGTTCAGTCTGGTGCTGCTACCTGATTCATAATAATGCTCAACATCCTTATTATTCAATGAAAACACATTTATCAAGTGAAGGTTTCTTCTTTCATTGTTAAACAACTGCAGCAGAATGTCTTCTCCCAGAACAAATCTGACAAATGTTTGTTCAGCAACAGCAGAGAGAGAGTTCAAGATAGGAAAACCCTCTTTACACTTTAGTTAGCTGTTGGCTACATGACCAGTCAGCTAACTCACCTCAGTGTTAGTAACTATTGGATCTTGACCTCTCCAATATGGTGAATTAGTGAATGTCCTAATAAAACTCAGTGTTCTAACAGTTCCATTCATGCAGTCACAGCGGCTGCTGGCTCAGTCTAATAGGCTAATAGCCAAATTATCTCTGACCTCATGAGTTGTTGTGCTTGTTGTTGTTTTAATGCAGTGTGTTTATTTTAGTTCAGCTTCTAGTCAACACTTGTGTACACACAGAAACAACTGGTTTATGAATGACTGTTGTTTGATCAAATGTGTGTCCATTGACTTCCTCTGTGACAATACTACATATACAGAGGGATAATTAGACTGTGATCAGCACAGGTTGGAAACTAAATCCTTTAGTCTGAATATTTCACAGTGGTGAGCAGTTAGTTCAGAAGAGTCCATAGACTGTATATAGCTGGACGTCCTCCACACACTGCACAACAATGAAGCCAGAATAATGCTTTATATAGCAGTTAGTTAGCTGTTAGCTCTGTTAGCTTTGAACTAGCCACTAGTTATAACTAAAACAGATTTATTTACATCACTTAAACATTTAAGTACCAACATTTTGACTAAAACCGATTTTAGGGGAGCCAAGCCAAGAGACATCATGGAAAACAGCTGATCTTTGTGAGCACCACACACACACACACACACACACACACACACAAACACAAACACAAACACACACGCACACACACACACACACACAAGCTCAAACACACACGCACACACACGCTCAAACACACACACACACACACACACACTCAGAGATAAGGTGATTTCCTGTAAATAAAGAGGGGAGGAGCTACACTGAGCAGGTGATCCAGTTAAATGACTTTTGAGCAGAAGGAGGAAAACTGAAGGCTGAGGCAGGGTGAGTGTTAATACAACATTATTATTATTTTACTGTCAAAGTCTCTGAGTCAGTTAACTACATTTATTAAGATAACTCGGGTTAATTAGCTGTTTTCTACGTTACGTCTCTGCTAACTACAATACTAAGGAGTGGTCAGCTGTTAGCTACGATAGCTGTCAGCTGACCACAACAACTAGGATTAGTTAGCTGATAGCTTTGAGCTAGCCACTACTTATAACTTGAACAAAAAAAAATATTTACATAATTTAAACATTTAAGTACTGACATTTTGACCAAGATTTATTTGTATCCAATCCGTTCAAACCAAGACACACACACACACACAGATAAGGTGATTTCCTGTAAATGGAGAGGGGAGGAGCAACACTGAGCAGGTGATCCAGGTTCATGAGAAGAGGGAACCTGGAACCTGAAAGTGAAAGTGTTCAGTCAGACTCCATTTTGAGTCGACAGAGCAGAAGGAGGAAAACTGAAGGCTGAGGCAGGGTGAGTGTTAATACAACATTATTATTATTTTACTGTGGACACAAAGTGCTGATTGGCTGAATAATACACACTGAACCTGCTGTAACCCAAAGACAAAGATAAAGTAAGATAATCGCAGCAAGAGAAAAGGACAGACATCAGGGAAACAAATAAAAAAGTACTATAAGAGTATACAGTATACTCTGTATATATTGCTCATATTAAAAAAGTACAGATTCAATGAAAAATGACCAGGTGAAGATCTGGATGGTTTTATAAAATACTGTGTGTGTCTGTGTGTGTGTGTGTGTGTGTGTGTGTCTGTGTGACTTTTGAACAAACTTGTTTCTCTTCATTCTTGTGCTCTGAGCTCACAGTCTGTGTTACTGTTTTTCTTCTCAGACTGACTGAAGTTCAGAAGATGAGTGTTTGTGTGGAGGAAGAGGAGGACAGAGCAGAGTCTCCAGTGTCCAGCTGTCTGTCTATGAAGAGTGACCAGCTCAAACATGAACCTCCAGTCTTCAGTAATGAACCTGGACCCTCAGACTCAAAGTAAGAGAACTGATACTAACTCATTTATATGATTATATGGTATTTTCACTTTCCTCTGATTTTGCTAAGGGCTGCACGATTATGGTCAAAATGATTATTTCATGATTACAGAGCCCTGTGTTTGTGTTGAACCATGTTTACAGTATGTAATGTAACTGAGAAACACTTCCTGTGACTAACTTACTTCAAAATAAAAGTCATCTTGTGGTTTGCCAGTTAAATGCTTTTAATGTGAAGCTGCAGCAGTAGGAAATGTTCAGTAACTTAATACAGCATTTCTTCCAGGATAAAAGTATCCAGGCTTCAGCTGCAGTGGGTGTGTGTGCAGGCGACAGGACGGCTTCCCAAAAGTGAAAGCCAGAATTCTCAAATCACTCGTGGTGGCTGCTGTTAGTTTAGGAGCCACTTGATTTAATAATCAGCAGAGTTTTCTATGAGTGGAGCTCACATTTTAAATATCAGTATCGTAGACGGTCATGTTGGTTTAATGGTTTAAAATTGTGATTCTGATTAATATTCAAATCTTGCTATATTTTGTTGATTTTGTGTTTGTATATTAATATTCTACTTAATGGCCGGGCGCCCCCGGGGTTAGCTCACCTGGTAGAGCTTGGTCGGACCATCGTACCGATGTCCTTGCTTAGCAGCCATGGTTTCGAATTCTACCTGCTGGCCTTTCGGCCTGCGTGTCATCCCCCTCTCCTTCCCTCCCCTCTCTGTCTACTTCAGCTATCACTATCAGCTAAAGGCAATTAAAAGACAATAAATATATATATATATATATATTGTACTAATATTATACAGTGTAGTAGTTTATAGTATTTAAAGTATTTGTTCAATGTGTAACAAAGAGAAATCATTTGACCCATCTTCCTCTCAGTATCTGTGACA